CATTTTGCTGCCAGAGGAATCGTGAGTTTCAAAATCATTTCAGATTATTCTTTTAAGAAAAGAAAACTTTAGTATGAGCTGTATGTGCACTACTATGCATAGATCTGGCTTTCCCAATGATTATGTCGATTATTTGTTTGGAAGGCAAAAGTTTTCGCATTTAAGGAGATATTTTTCAAGATATTTTCTTTTTGAGGTAGATCAGGAAAAGGGAATTTCCCTGCGATTTCCTCGATACATTCGAATGCGTACTGATAAAACACCGGAGGAAGCTACTACTTCACAGCAGGTTTGCCTTGAAAGCAAAAGAAAAAAGATGAAGCCTTTCTGTGATATTATCTCCCTTCTAGAAGTTGGTTTTCCTTATAGTTTAATGAATGTAATAAGATGCTTACAGATTCTTTTGTGATTTCAGATAGCGGATATGTATAATAATCAAGAACAGATCAAAAATAAAGGAGCAAATGGTGCTAATGATGATAATAATGATGATTACTATTGATTTACTCGTTTTCTGATGTGGTTAGGTGATGTTACATTTTTCATGGCTAGTGATCAAGCATATCATTCTCAAGAGTATTATTGTGAACTATGCACAAGGAAGATGAGCAGATGTTAAGAAGAAAGTAATGAGCGATGAAGGGTAAAATATATTTGTGTGTCTATTTTTCGTTCCATTATCCTCGGAAACTTTTTATCACCTAGTGACCCTTAATGTTTACTTCTTCAATGATTCATTAATTGTCGGCAGACACTTTCCCGAATCCTTCCGCACTTTTTTTTTCTTGATTTTTGACATTCTTGAAATTTTTTGTTGCAAATAAATCTTGCTCTTTTGTGATGCTTTGCGCGACACACCTTTGCATTTAAAAAATTGGTCGTTTTCCAATTGTTATCTAGAAACTTCATTCAGTCGAAGTTCTTGACATATTCACTTACATAACATATGGATAAACAAACAAAAAAATAAATGAATAAAATAAAATAAAAATTTATGCAAAATCAGCTGAATGGAATATTTCCAGCTATGACAATAATAATTTGATGAAACCGTTTGCTGGAAATTTGATGAAATTATTTGAAATAACTTATGAAATAATAAAATAACTTAATGAGCAATGAATGGTAACCTATCAGCACTATCAATTTCGCTCATTTATTTAATATATCACTATCGAAAGCAATCATATCGGTGTTATAAGTTGAATAACCAGAATTGAACCATTGATGGTAGTCTATATGACCAAAACAGGTATTTTATTCCAGGACATCCTTGTATCTCATTTTTGGAGCTCATTTATTTCGGAAACGAGTGACGTATCTCACTATAAAGCATAATCTTAGGGTGATTCCATTCTGGAGACATGTTCTACCAAGCGTAGTTGCAGTTTCAGTGATATGACCTCATTATCACTATGAGGAAGCTGAATATGATAAGCATTTCAGTTAGTAGATAAATTGTCATTTGCTCTGTAACAATTTGAATCAATAAGTTTTACACAGTATGATATAATATTTTACTTTATTTAATTTGAATTGATATATTTGAAATGATTATTGTTCTATTTCAGTTCTGTCAAATCAGTTTTTTTTTGGAATACTGTAAAAGCTGACAAATAAACATTATTTTAAAGTGCAGTAGTGAGAAAGAAGAAGGAAGAGAAAGTGAAAAATTGAATTGTTACATCATTTTTTGATTTTAGGAAGCAAAACAAAATCACTCAAATATACCCTTTTTTCTTTCTTTTTTCTTTTTATAGCAAACAAATGTTAAACTCTATTTTCATTTTCGGGAATTTCATTACAAATTTCAACATTTTCAATGTATCAAAGTTTCTTTTTCCTGCGTAAATTTTAACCCGAAAAAATAAGGTAACAAAAAAAAAAATGTATCGAAATCATCAAACCAAAATGATTCAAACATATATTTCATAAAATTGAAAATTCAATTTAAAATTTAAATTTAAAAGTTTACCATTTATTATGGAAAAAAAAAGAAACAGAAAAGGATAGTATTAAAGACAAGCTTATTTCATAATTCGATTCATTTTGCAGTTTCTGTTCGAGCGTGCATGGTTTTCTCATTTAAATTGAAATTTTTAATTTTCTCATTTAAATTTCCTCATTTAAATTTATAACCTAATTCATTTAATACCATTTTCTTATCTATTCTTTAAAATACAATTTTTAATAATCTTCTTAACAATTATAGTACAACAGTAATGAGATAAAAACAAATTTATTGCTTATTTTGACAAATCTTTTTTTTACATCTCTTTTTAGCCACCAAATTATTTGCACATAAACAAAGCTTCAATTTTTAATTCCTATTGAAAATTGGAAATTTATTTTTTTTTCGATACAGACATTTGTTAAAACTTAATTCAAAATTTAAAATGAAAATCTTTGAAATAAGCAATGATAATGAATGGTTTGCAGTAGAAATTTTAAAATAACATAGAAAATGCCATTTTAACAATAATCAATTTTATGTATTTATTTTTGACTCAATCAAAAAAGGTTAACCTGGACAGATTGCATGTTCACCTGGTTATCCGCCTTAACCACCCAAATGCAATAAGCATAGGAACTGATAAATTGTTAAGCACAGGAAGTGATAAATTGATAAACACAGGAATTGATAAATTAATAAGCGCAGGAATTGATAAATTAGTAAATACAGGAACTGATAAATTAATTAGCACGGGAATTGATAAATCTTTTCGTATAATTGATTCATTTATATTCCTGTTATTTTGATTACAATGAGCAGTAATTTTTATTAGCAATGATAATAATCACTTGAATGAATTTATTTATTTCGTTTTATTTTAATTTAAAAACTAAAAAATGACACAGTTCGCTGTCGAATTATCATATGATTATCATATGATAATGATTCGAATTATCATATGATAATGATTTGATTTATTTCAGAATTTATAAAATGGATGATAAAGAATATCTTTCGATCAAATATAAAATTTGTTTGAAAAAGTGTATTTTACTTATATTTTTTATTTTTTAAAACTACGAATACATTTGATGTGTTTGATAAATTTTTAATAATGATAATAATAATAATATACCCTAAAGGTTTGCTAGTAATTTTTACTAGGCTAAATGTTAAGGATTAAATCTTATCAGCTATAACTTGTTCAAATTTTTTTGAGTAATATAAATAAATATAATTATGATAGCCTACTAGGCTAATACTTTACTCGATTAACTTGAACAATCTTTGCATATCAGATAAGATCTTATCATTCCAAATTCAAAATCTTAATTCCTGTGTGTGTGTTGTTTTTTTTTTTGATTATGATATTTCTAAAATTTTTATATTCATTATTTTTATATTCAAATTTTTATATTCATTATCGATCACCCATATGTTTGATAAGTTTGATAATAAGTAACCCAAAATATTGCTAATGTTCTCTAATATCTCGATATCTCATAATCTTCCGATATTCATAGTATTTTTCAATTCTTATCGACAAGAAAAACAAAGGAAAAAAAATGATTTTCAATCTTTGATTTTAATAATCTTTGCAAAAAAATCAAATGATTTTATTCTATCAAATTTATAATTGAAATAATTTTAATAAAAAATTTTTTGACATATTTGATAAAAGACAATTTTAGCAATGAAAAGAGCTTCTTACTATCACCACCTACGATGTCATTCAGTCAACTAAGTGAAAGTCAACAAACATTTCAAACAAATTCCACAAAATCTAATTCACACAGAACAAAGTTACTAATATTATTGATCATTGAATAATTTTTGAAATTAATTTGAAAGTAAATTATTTCAAAAATTTCTAATTACAATTAATTCATTGATATAAAAACGATTATTAATTAATTAATTTAGCAAAATACAAAAAATAAAGCAAAAAAAGAAAAAATTATTTGGAAAGTCATATATATTGAATTATTTTAAATAAAATGAAATAATTTAAGATAAATTTGTTGAAAATGTACAAAAAATTGGTTATTGCATATTTATATTTCAAATGTCAATTTGAAATTAAAACTTTAACGACTTATGAATGCAAATTAAATCATGAATGCTTGATTGCATAATTAAATTATGAATGCTTAATTGCATAATTAAATTATGAATGCTTAATTGTATAATTAAATCATGAATGCTTAATTGCATAATTAAATTATGAATGCTTAATTGTATAATTAAATTATGAATGCTTAATTGCATAATTAAATTATGAATGCTTAATTGTATAATTAAATTATGAATGCTTAATTGTATAATTAAATTAAATTTCAGTGATCAAAGTGTAGTAGATATGTTGCAACAAC